AACCGGAGATAGTTTATCACTGGCTTCAACAACTTGGTAAATTATATTGGACACGTGCATAAGCCGAAGGACAAACAATCAAACTCATAAATTTTCCCCTTCAAAAGAAATCTCAGAAATCTCCGATGTGACTACTATACTGGAATCAGAAAGTAAGCATCTTTAAGATCCACCGTACCCATGAAAATATCACGCACCAAAAGGCTGTAAACGGATCTAAGATCCTCGAGTTTGAAGTGTTTTGCATCAACAAACGTATTAAGAACCTTTAGGTTCAGAATGAACCTCTGTTGACCATCTAACTTAGGAACCAAAAGGAACGGTGAAAAGAAATCTAGAGGAATCTCTTTTACTTCCTCAATCGCGCCTATCGAAAGCAGTCTGTTAATTTTTGATTGGATGCATGCCAGTTCCTGATCCGATCAAACCCTGTTAGGTGGTGGACAAGTTTGTACAGGGATCGATTGAACAAGTATTTCATACCCTTCCACACACTGATTGACAATTTTGTCCTCAGTGATTTTTTCCTAGGCTTTTACGAAATTCTTTGGACGGCCCACAAATATAATTACATTTTCGTCTAAGGTTAACAGTTCTGAGACCGTTGGTTCTGCTGACGATATTGGCTCGACCTAGGGTAAGATGTCTACTTCAACTCTTCTAAACTTTCCCAAAGGCTTTGATCTCCTTAACCTTGTCGACTAATTTATCACAGAACAAATAATAATTAGCTTACCTTTTGTCTAATGTTGTCACCCACCGCTTTGACAATGTCGGCAAGCTGCAAACTCTGCGTGCAACAGTTTGAGATCTGTGGATCTCAATTGGTAATTTTGCCGCATTCCAACTTTGCTCCAATCTCTTAACACTTATTCGACCGCTCGTTTTTTARRCTGCTGTTCAGTTATTACCGGCTTAGATGCGCATGCATTTCTTTTGGAGCTAAAGCAGCTAAGCAGATCCTGCTAGCTTTTGCGTAGCACCAGAGTACTTATCCCTCTTCAGAACCGGTTCTTTTTGGTTAACAGTCACCTCTCCATTTAAAATCGGTGGCTTCAACGAAAGTTTGCCCTTCCTGAGGTATTTTCTTAGGAGTGACTCACTTTAGACCTTTGGATAAATATATTTTTCTTTTTTCTCAACGATTAGCGACACTBGAGTGCAGGACTAATTTAAGTTCTTTCTGCATCGGATCCTCTCCAAAGATGCAGAGAGCATCCGCATCCAGCTCCCATGAAGACTGGATTCAAAATGAATTTAATTCATATTATTATAGATTTCCACACATCAGTTTATTTAACAATTGTACAAAATTAGGTAGTCTATTGTTTACTCTGAAATATCCTCCCGGGTCATTTAGAGTAATTTTAATCTCTACTTTACCTTCCAGATAAAATCAGATTAGTATATAAGGCCCACTTTACCTCTCATATAAACAGAACACTACCATACCCACAGAGCACTACTATGCCCAGAAGTAATTATTATGATTATTTATAATCAGGTGAAGCCTCTCGGGCGTGAAGGTATAATTTACGAAAATTGTGATTGCATATCATGCTGACAATTAATCCGTAGTTATAATGGATACAATAACGTTTCGCATCTGATTTCGATCTGTTACGCGGAAATGTTCGCGKGAAGTTAAATTCGCGTTGATTTCCGAATAACGTAAGAATTCGGYCTATTGAATTCTTGTAATTGTATTGAAAACAAGGATTTCCAAATTTTTGGAAAGAATAACTTTTATTCACGTTCGGCTACAAACAACTTACGAGCGTAACGGCCAGGATAGAAGAGTGTTTCGGATGTCGAGGGAGCCCCTTTTAAGGGAAATCGGAACAAGGAATCTTCTAGAAGAAGGGCGTTTTTTCATAGGCAAGGGTTTCTTATTGGTGTTCCCACCATGTTCTTATTGGTGCAGTGGGGGATTGCCTAAAATTCCAAATTTTATGTTCGGCGTAAAATAATAGAAACGGAAGTTCCTTAAATTRGTATGCAGCGCAGGTGTAGGTTTTATCTACTAGGTCTGGCAGATTTAAACAGGTTTTCCAGGAAATCATGAGAGTACACCCAAGCAGGTATAGTTCTCGTTAGGTCTAACAGATCGCTCCGGCGTCTCACGGACTGTATGTTAGAGTCCCAAGATGGCTTCCTTTATTACAGTAAACCCCGTTGCTATCTCCTCCATCTTATCCTCTAACTTGCGAAGTCTTTTGGATGTCCTTTCCCTTAAACGATCCCGACCTTTTAAGCTCTTYTTCTTGCTACTACCCATTGATAATTTTTTATCTCTATTATTAATAATAAAATACGTTAAAACTGTTCACTTGCTCCAAATGTGTGATCTGTCTGATACAAAAATAACGAATGAATAGACAGTAATAGRGCAGCGCCACGATGGTCAAGAGGCGCTCCAGTCGTTCACTGTTGCGTAGCACGCTACGTAAGGCATGAGCTGCAGTGTGTTTGTGGAAGTGTTCTGTGAATAACATAGTTTCGACAAAGCATTGATGCGTGGTTGGTGCTTTACCTATTCTTGCACTTCTTTAGTCCTCACTAAAACACAAGTCCTTTCATTAGAGAACACGGTGGAGTGGGGGAACTTTGCTCCTATTGGTCAATCAAGTTGGGAAAGGGGTGTCCGGAAACCAATTCTGGGTGTAAAGGGGCGCAAGAATCCAGGCTCGGCACTTCGAAACAACTCAAGATTCACATAGCATCGCTTACAAGAGGAAGAAGATGGAGAAGCAGCGGCAGCAGTAGTAATCTCTCAAAATTTAGTTTTTGAAGGTTTCACTTCTAACACGTGTGATCTGCACACATGTTGTTGTTTTTTTTCTTTTTCAAAAATGAACAACTTTGATATTCTCCCTTGAAGCTAACATGATTCTTCGTGTAATCTGATTTGAAAAGATTACACGATGTTGATCCGTTATAATAACACTATTCTTTATAGTATAATTCCCATTAAGGGGTTACATGGGTTTCATCCGTGTAAAAACGGCGTATTTTCAAGATTTTTGTTCATATAATATTTTTATTTTATTTTATTTATTTCAAATAATAATACGAGAGTAATCCCAATACAGAGTATGTAAAAATAAAAAAATAAAAAAAATGAAGACGTATGGTGGTTAGATAGCTAGAGCACAATTAATATTTATTGAAGTATCCACGCAGAAGCATTTTCAGCTGATGCTTAGAGGTAACATTATTAACTGATTCAGGCAAAGAATTAAAGAGCCTAATAATCCGAGGAATAGGACTAAAGTAAGCTAAGTTGGTGCCATGAGTAAGCTCAATCAAAAGTCTGGAATTTCGAATAGTATAAGGCAAAGCTCTACCGACAATTCTACCCCTGAGATAATTACAATCAATCTCGCCACATAATACTGCAAATCCAAATAAAATGTCAGCTACGATCCTAGAAGATTCTAGAGTAGGTAAACCAAAAGAAAAGGCTGATTGAGAGTAATTATGCTCAAAAGGATCTAAAGGTCGCTTAGAGCGCAAACAAAGTAGTCTTAAAAACCTATGTTGAATCTTTTCAAGCTGATAAATATATTTATCAGAATGCAGCGACCATATAACCGATGCGTAACACAAAATTGAAAGAACCAGAGATTTATACAAATAGATTAAGGTGTTCAGGTCTTTAAAGTCTACTGTAGCCCTACCAATAAAACCAAGCATTTTGTATGCTCTAGTAGTGATGTAATCAAAGTGACCTTGAAAACACAATTTGCAGTCAATAATTACACCCAAGTCTTTACACTGATCAAGTCTAGAAAGTACAACTGACTTAAGTAGATAATTAAATTGCATAGGATTCAGCAGCCGAGAGAAAGAGACAATGTGACATTTATCAACGTTCAAGGTCAAACTATTTAAAAAGCACCAATTATAGAAAAAGATCAGATCCTCTTGAAGCAAAACACAGTCACGTGGTCCCTCAATCTTTTTGTAGATCTTAATATCATCTGCATACAGGATAATCTTAGAGTTAGATATACTATTTATTACGTCGTTGATAAACAGTATGGAACAATAATGGCCCTAGGTGCGAACCCTTTGGAACGCCAGATTTGGCAAAGAACGGTTTAAAGAAACATCCATTTATTTTAATAACTAATGACCTATCGACTATAAAGGATTTAATCTAACTGAGCAAGGAGTCACGGATACCAAAATTATACAACTTGGAACAGAGTATTCTATGATTGACTGAGTCAAATGCTTTGGAGAAATCAGTGTAAATAGTATCTACCTGCCGCCTATCTTCAAAAGCCTCGTGAATGTAATCCGTGAACACTACTAAGTTAGACAGAGTAGACCTACATCTAACAAATCCGTGCTGCA